ATCATCGTGAAGACTGTAATAAATTATGGAAAAGTGGAGCTAATGCCAGTTCGCTCCCATTATCATCAACAAAATTCTAGTGGGTACATATCATGATATATTTAAAAGCAAGAATCAGGATTACATTGATGGGTTGATTCCACTCAAATGTGAAAGTAGAGGTGGAGGAAAAAAAAAAAAAATCCTGAAATACACAGGAAATACGAGCATTTTGCTCTATGCTGTGGAGAAGTTCAAAAGACAGGCAGGGAGATGAGAGATAATGTGAGCGCGGAGAGCGGTAGAGAAGTCCGAGAAGAGAGAGCATAGCAGATCAACGCAGCGACGCAGACAAGATATCGAACGGTGGGCGGACCATGTTAAGTTTGGTGGAGTCTGTTAGAAGTTCCATGGCGCCTAGGGTCCTAGTGACGCGTTTCGATGTAGAAAGGTGGCGCTACCTTTGCACTTGCGTACCCAGCACTTCTAGCCATGGTAAGGGCTTCTTAGGTGGGTCTGAGCCCGAACTTTGCCTTTAAAGCAGAGTTTGCTTGTCTCCCCGCCAGCCACAAATTTGTAATTGTTGCTTAAAAAGTCACCTTGGGAAGGTGGATCAAGCTTGAACTGGGTGAACATGAGCCAGGCTGCACAGGGCGGACATGGGAACTGAGGATCTCCGCACCGTGGGCAGGGTGTGCATCAAATGGGCGATGCCGGCGACAAAGCTGTTCAAATCGGTTCTAGAACATCCCAGAAACCAGGAAAAAATGGGTAGAGGCGTTACCGACTTGCTAGGTATCATGCTAACATACTATACCAGTTTGATTCCACATGCCTTTTACGCATTAAATAGTGGTCTCATCAGCTGGGGCGTTTCACCTTCATCTGAACACACCCTTATGGTCTTATGTTCCACAGTTGCCCAATTTCAGCGACGCCACTACTCAATGCGCGCGGTAGCGAGCGAGGTCAAATTGGTACAGTATAAACTGGGGACAAAACAACTTGTGTACACGATTCCTGCCACAAGGATAGGTCCTGCCACAAGAATAGGTATGGACCGTAAAATGATTTCTACGGAAGGCTAACAAGTTTTTCTCCCTACTGAACTGTCAGGACGTTTTGAAAGATCTTTTACGTCTGTGTTTCATGGACCTTTCTAGTGAAGGTGCTTTCCATGGTAGCCCTTACTATTAGTGGAACAGCCTCATCCGTGAATAGGGTAAGAGATCCGAATAGGGCTGTCACTTTTGCAACAAATCTGATGAAAAGTGCGCTAGGGGTCCAGAAATTCCGCCACAGCACAATTCCCGCCTATCGTTGTAGTACCTGCAAGTGCCTTCAACAGTCTCTCTGTCTCGCTCGAGTCACACGTAAGCTTTCGCCTAAGCGCACAGTGTATTCTGAAGGCGGACTACTGTACTTGTAAAATATATGTACTGTTGTGTTTCACACTAATTGATGGTGTCCGTTTAAGATATGTGTGAGCATGGACCCTGGTTCGGCGCAGGTCACTCTGACGTCCGATGGACCACCGAAACTGTTCACTTTCGATGGCGCCTATTACATGGATTCCACCGGGGAGCAGATATACAACGATATCGTCTATCCACTTGTTGAGGTAAAATTTTGTAATTTGTTTATAACTTCAGGAATTTCAATGGAATTCTTGAATCAAGGGAACCGAATATATTTAGAATGTCATCGAGGGTTACAATGGCACGGTATTCGCGTATGGACAGACAGGATCAGGGAAAACGTTTTCTATGCAAGGTTAGCGGCTCTTTGTTATTAACGAATAAGTTACTTAATACATGGATATAGTAACTTAACAGCATTCCTAAGCTATTTAAAGACCTCGATTATTCTATATTGACCTATTATTGAGCGATTATCTCTCCAGGTATTTGAGAATGACCTCATTTTTTAACTATCATAAATTTTTTGAATCTGCAATCACTCCGGTATCTTCGTAATAACTTGCAGCCGTCTCAATTGCGAGCATCCCCGCTCAACGAGGAATCATTCCACGAGCATTCGAGCACATCTTCCTCGCCACAGCTACCACGGAGAACATGAAGTTTCTCATCCACTGCAGTTACTTAGAGGCTCGTTTCCTTTTCTTAATTTTTTTTACGCTGAGCATTGTGTCCCTCAACCATTCACCCATTTTCTGTGGACATTAGTCAAGTAGCTTCCTGAACTCAGGGCTGAGCACTGAGCGTATGCTGTCTTGCCACACTTTAACCTGATTAGCACCTGGATCATAGAAGTGTGACCACTCTGGAAAGCAGGGCAACTTTTCTGTGATGGCTGAAGTTTTGCAATGGGAGAATTTACAGTTCATAGTTTTCTCCTCTGAATTCCTAAATGCTAGAGAAGAACAGTTTCTATGCGTTCAGGCGACATCTACGCTCGATTCCCTCACTCTGCTCTATATTTCCTCTTCCACTTCTATAGACGCGTTAATTTCAGATAACAATAGAGCGGGACTCTTGAGCGACAAAATCAAAAGTTGGAGATAAAGGTACACAATCGAAGAAATCATCTGTAGTAGGAGGCTTTCAAGCGCTACAAGGCTGAACCTTATCTCTTATAGGAACACGCAGAAAGGGGAGTCTACGTGGCCGGTCTGTCAATGCACGTGTGTCACGACGTGAAATCATGCCACGAACTAATGGACAAGGGATTCAACAACCGGCATGTTGGAGCGACCTTTGATGAACAAGGTAAGGCTTTCTACAGTAGTAATTGATGTGCATGGTGTGCTAGTTAGGATTCACGACCAGTACAGGATACTCACACGTCTAAAAATACTCGCCTGGAATTAAATATATTTTGAATCTACTCAGATACCCTCCTCAAAAGTGTCACGTGTCACGTGACAGCCTATTAGGAATCCAAAAATGGGGTAAATCGGAGAGTATTCAGGCTGTATAAAGCACAGTTTACCACTCATCGATAACGTCATATAGGAGCTTGTAAATGAACGTACCTCAGAAAGAATAGGGTGATATGGTCGACTCCTATGCTCCTGGCTCTATGAGGGTAGGTCAGGTTTAAACGCTTTTCGGATTGCTTGCATTTTAGCTTCAAACTATACTGCGATATAAAGGTGTCGAGATCAGTTCATTTATTTATTTATTTATTAATTATTTGCTGCACGCAGGTGCGTATATCCATAGCCTATAGTAAGATATCACAACAGCAATAAAGTTTGATTCGACCTCAACTCGTAAGACGAGAGTAACACATATGCAACGAGAGATAAACAATCAATTTTTTGTCCAATCAGAAAATGTTGAGGGAGTACGCACGTCGCTCGCACACGATGACCAATCAGTAAAGAATGGGTAAGACCGTGAATGTTCACATTCGGAGAACCCGCTCCCCACAGCGCCCTACGGCGCCGAGGCGCGATTGTGTCGTTTTGCACTGCGAACAGTGCTGTGGTTGCTGAGCAGGACCATTGCGCCCTTCCGCCCCATGCGCCGCCCCGCCCCATGATTCATCGGTGGCTTGGGCGAGCCGTGTTGCCAGCCGCAGCGCGGTTAGGGCGCCATGCCTGCTGTTTGCTGCCCAGCACGCGTTGCGCAATCTCGTCCACGCGTGCGCGGTCTTCGCCGCAGTCCATCTGAGAGCCGCAATAAACGGCCCAAAAGGGGGTCCCATTTCTCGTTTCCTGGACCGATTTCGCTGCTTCTTTCGCCACTGACGTACCATTGAGGACCCCCTCGTCCCCTCTAAACCCCATTCAAACCTAGCGTAACCGCTGCCTTTAAAAATGCGGATCAAGAAATCCTTCCCAGAAAATTATTGCTTTTTTCGCAGCAGTGTCCAAGTTCGACTTTGTATGACTATGTATGCGTTCCCGCCGCCAACAGTCATGACGATGTCCAACGAGAAATTGGATGCGTTTGCAGCATTCGATTTTCGAAATTGTTGCCAAAAAATGCAATTTTTGTTCTTTAGTTCTTCTCGTGACGAATGGCCGTCAGTGCTTTATGGTCAATGAACCATAGATTTTCCGGGAAGGCCCTTTGTATAACTAGAATGTATATGCCATAGAGGTCAAACAAAACTAAGTAGACTGCCAAATTAGTTCAGAGATTCTCCCGTACCATTCAATTCTATCCCGTTATTAGAGGAATGATGAAAATGGCTCATCAGGACTGAAAACCAACTCGTAGATTTGATGCAGCGAGCGCCCATCAAAACTGGTATGACACATAATTCCGCTTCCTCTTAATTTGACAGCATTTGGCTAGTTTCTTCGTCATTGCACATTTAATAATTTTCAGCTTATTGATTTTTTAGAGCAATATTTGGTCTTGTGCATACCAAGACCTTGTTTCCAGGTGCTACCGGCGACCGCTTCAAAGAAGCAACGAAAATCAATCTCTCGTTGTCCGCTCTAGGCAACGTCATTTCGGCTCTTGTGGATGGAAAATCGAAGCATATCCCCTACCGAGACTCAAAGCTCACAATGGTTACTACGCAGGTGATCTCTTCCCAGCTTTTTCGCGTCTATCACTCCTTCTTTAGTATCGATAAATCCTATACATCTTCTGTTTGTTCTAATTGTTTCTAGCTGTAATTGAGATACAATGAAGGGTCCATGTTGCTCAGTGAATGCACCACTGCAAGGAACTGTGTAATACGTGGAGAAACCATAACGTACAGTGAAAATTTTCCAGTTGAGCCATGAAATCAGTCTCAATCACGGTAGAAGCGTATTGTGTAGCAAAGGACAGCCCACTGATTTCCCTGCTCAACAGGAAGCACCGCTGACACACGAACTTCAAATAACTTAAGTTCAACCCGTAATAGCAAGGCCACCTATTTGCACCAGATCTAGGGTGGACAAAAACTCCGTGGCACACCAGGTCGGCTGCGCCCAATTTCTGCTCCACTCTACCTTGTTAGCCATTGAAAAGACACGTTTGCATAACATATGTCATATTGAGCACGTTATTACATAAAGTTTGAAAGCGTGGCGGATCTCAAAAATTACTTTTTTTCGATGTCAAGCTCGGGTACAGAATAACATCAGAAAAGGGATTCGACGATAACGTCGAAGAGGGGAAACATACCTAGTTAGAATGCAGGCGGCCCCATAAGGGTGCGGGTCGGCACGTGATTCGTAGCGAAGTATATGCCATGGCGATCGGCATGACCCTCCCGCGGCGCTATCGGCGCGGTACGCCTCCTCTCGCTGTCTGACCCTCTAGCCGTTAGCAGAGAGAGCGTTAGCGTTGAAGAGGGCAGCACCGATGAGAGTCGCATCAATGCGGAAATCAACGGGCAAGGAAGGGGTCCCATTCTCGGGTTCTGAGGCCGTTTCTCATGATTTTTCTTCATCCCTGCACCACTGTCCACCTCTAGCTGCCTTTTCACCGTAAAATTCACCTTTAAGTGAGCAAGTTTTCACTGTAGAAGTGGGGGGAGGCGTCCTCACCAGGATTCAATAGCGCGTCCGGTGTAGGATGTCATGCACAGTTAGTGCCATTCAATCCCACGAAAGACACTCTCCACCTCTCTGGCCAAACCTTTTACTCACTTGATGTTGACCTGCTGCAAATCTCCTTTACAATTGCCCCTTGTTCTCCAGTCACACCACTCAGATGGAACCATGAAAAAGCTTCACTTGAGCTCTTCTCATTGAGGTTGAAGACTGCTGATATGGTGTGAGCTTAAAATGGTCATGATCACTCAAAGGCGTTCCAAGACATCACGATAAAGATCGTCAATAAAGCACCCGTCAAGTGACCACTGTACAATTACATTTTCCTCT